TCGCGATCGCCTGGGCATGGGATGGCTTTGCCGATGCGCGCCTTCCCATGGATGCGCACCTGGCCATCGATCGGACGTCCATTCCCTGTGCTTTTTCCCGTTTCGTGCGTGGTTTTTTCGCCAAATGATCAAGGATGCTCCTCGATGGTCCTCGCCGAAGGAAACATGCACACGTCCGAGCGATGCCAAAGCGCGGTCGCGCGGACGCGTCTCGTGCGGGGCCCCCGCGCGAGAGCGCGCCCCGCACCCGCGGTCGGCCGCGGCCCGGGTGCACGACCGGCGAGGCCACGGGCATGAGCATCATTCGTCGCCCCACGAGCCGTCCCTGCCCCGGGTCGGGCCCCGGGATCGACCCGGGATCGGGGCGACACGTCGCCGGAGGAGGAGGGGGAGGAGGAGGAGGAGGGGGAGGAGGAGGAGGAGGAGGAGGAGGAGGAGGAGGAGGAGGAGGAGGAGGAGGCAGCACTTAGCGAGCTCGGCGTCCGCCCGTCGCCGATAGGTTGGCGGACGATGGGCCTCTGACAGCGAGCCCGCGCCTTCCTGGGCGGGGTGGGGCTATCACAGTCCTGCAGGCGATCGAGGGGCGATTGGGGGTCGATGCGTCCCCCGCTATGCCTTCCCCCCCCCGATCGTTGCCACTGCAGCAGCGAGACCCCTGGGCCTGCCACGCCCACCTCTTGGGCCTATCACCCCCTGTGCCCATCCACCCCAAAGGTCGGACCTGGGATAGCAGAACGTTCTTCAAGAACGTGAGACCCTCCGTCGGCCAAACTGAAGAGCATTCGAGGGTATCCTTCCCCAGGATGCACAAGAACATCCAACAATCACGAAGAACCTTAGGGCATCCTCCCCGAACCGACCTCGATCTTATACCTCCGGTCCGACCAGATCCTTATACCCCTAGCCCTTTTACGCATCCCCAGCTATGCCTATCCTCCCTATCCCCCCACCATCATTGCCCCTGAAGCAGCCGGGGCACGCGCGTCCCGAAGTCCCGCGCCTGGCCTCACCCTCCTCGCCCCCCTAGCCCTCGTCCGCGTTGCCCTCCTCGCCCTCCTCCCCCCCCCTCCGCCATCCTCGCCCTCCTGGACCTCCTAGACCTGCTCGCCCTCCTCGCCCTCGCCCTCCTCCGCCCTCCTCCGCGTCGCCCTCCTCGCCCCCCGCCTCACCCTCCTCGCCCTCCTCGCCCTCCTCCGCGTCGCCCACCTCGCTCTCCTGGACCTCCTCGCCCTCCGCCGCCTCCGCCTTCCGCCCCTGAGGCCGGGCGTCTCGGAACTCTGAGCCCGCGCGGAGAGCAGGCCGCATTTCGGCAGCAGCGGCAGACACTGCATCATTCCTCGAGCCTCGACCTTCTTCCTCCTCCTCCTCCTCCTCCTCCTCCTCCTCCTCATCGTCCTCCTGTTTCTCCTTCTCCTCCTTCTCCTCCTTCTCCTCCTTCTCCTCCTCCTCCTTCTCCTCCTCCTTCTCCTCCTCCTCCTGCTCCTGCTCCTGATCCTGCTCCTGCTCCTGCTCCTCCTCCTGCTCCTGCTCCTGCTCCTGCTCCTGCTCCTCCTCCTCCTCCTCCTCCTCCTCCTCCTCCTCCTCTCCCTCCTCCGACTCCAACTCCTCCTCCTCCTCCTCCTCATCCTCCTCCTTCTCCTCCTCCTCCCCTTCCTCCTGCTCCACCACAGAACACCGCTTCTTGTTCCTCATCATCCTCCTCCGTCTCCAACTCCTCCTAACTGTTCTTATCCCATCTCGTCATCATCCGCATCGACATCCTCACCATAACCATCAAACCTCTCATTCCTCCAAAGTCCTCCTCCTGCATCATCAATTTGATCATCAGACACTAGATCAGCATGATCAACATCATCATCGGCATCAGCATCATCATCATCAACATCAACATCATGCTCATCATCATCATCATCATCATCATCATCAGCACCATCATCATCACCAACATCATCATCATCATCATCATCATCATCATCATCATCATCATCAACGTCGCCATCAACAGCATCGTCATCATCAGCAGCATCAACATCATCCTAATAATGATCATCATCACCATCATCACCATCATCACCACCAGCACCATCACCATCGCCATCATCTTCATCATAATCATCATCGTCAACAATATCATGCCGACACCGTCATGATAATCTTCCTCATCATCATCACCATCATCCTCCTCATCATCATCGTCGTCGCTATCGCATCATGATCCCCCTCCCCATCGCCGCCGTGGCCATCGCATCATCAGCATCATCGTCAGCGCTATAGATCATCATCATCATCATCATCATCATCATCATCATCATCATCATCATCATCAGCATCATCATCATCATCATCATCATCATCATCATCATCATCATCATCATCATCATCATCGTCATGAATATCATCATCATCATCATCATCATCATCATCATCATCGTCATCATCATAATCATCATAGTCGCGAGCATCGTCATCAGCATCAGCAGTATCAACATGATCATCATCGTTATCATCACCATCATATCATCATCCCCGCCATCACCATCACCATAGCCATCACCATCACCATCATCATCAGCATCATCATTATCATCATCGCTATCACCATCAGCATCATCATCATCATCGTCATTGGCACGGGCCATCGTCATCATCATCACATCATCATCATCATCATCATCAGCATCATCATCATCATCGCTATCATCATCACCATCATCGTCATCGACATGGGCCACCGTCATCATCATCACATCATCATCAGCATCGCTGTTACCATCATCATCGCAATCATCATCATCATCATCATCATCATCATCATCATCATCGTCATCGGCTTGGGCCATCATCATCATCATCATCATCATCATTATCACATAATCATCACCATCATCACCGTCATTGTCCTCACCCACATCCTCACCATACTCATCATAATCCTCCTCACCCTCCTCATCATCATGGTTGTCGCCATCGTCGCCATCGAATCGTAATCGTCCGCCTCAGCATCATCACCGTCGCCACCATCGCATCATCAACAAGCATAATCATAATCACCATCATCACCATCATCATCGACTTCATCAGCGACATCATCATCATCATCATCATCATCATCATCATCGTCATCATCATCGTCATCATCATCATCGTCGTCGTCGTCGTCACCATGAGCATCACCTTCATCAATAGCGACATCAGCATTATCAGCACCAGTATCCTCATCATAATCATCATCATCATCATCATCATCATCAGCATCACCATCATCACCATCATCATCATGCTCATCACCATGATTCATCGCCAGAACCATCATCAACATCACCATCACTACTATCACCCTCATCCTCATCCTCATCCTCCTCATCTTCATCATCATCCTCATCCTGATCCTCATCATCCTCATTCTCGTCCCCACCCTCTTCTTCACCATCGTCGTCGTCGCATTCGTATCATCATCAGCGTCATCACCCGCCTCATGATCATCATCATAATAATCACCCTAGTAGACGTCATCATGATCGTCCCCATCATCAACGTCCCTATCAACATCAACATCATCATCAGCATCATCATCACCATCATCGTCGTCGTCGTCACCAGCATCCTCCTCCGCCTGATCCTCATCCTCATCCTCAGCCTCATCCCCACCCTCATCATCATCCTTATCCTCTTGATCACCATCACCATCACCATCACAATCACCATCAGCATCACATCATCAGTATTGTCCTCGTCATCGTCATCGTCATCCTCATCACCGTCCTCCTTCAGGCTCATCATCAGCATCCTCCCCCTCAGCATCACAGCCGTCGTCACCGCATCCTCCCTCTCCTCCGCATCACCAACATCACCATCGTCGCCATCATCGCAGCATCATCATCACCATCATCATCAGCATCACCACCATCACCATGACCATCAGCATCATCAGTATCATCGCCATCAGCATCATCATCATTACGATCAGCTGCATCAACATCGTGAACATAATGGGCACTTTCATCAGCACCATCATACTTACAGTGGCCATCATCCTCACACGTATCTGCATCCGCATCTTCATCCTAATCCTCCTCATCCTCATCCTCATACACATCCTCCTCCGCCGCCTGCTCGTCATCGCCAACGTCGCACTCATCGGATCATCATTCGCCTCATCCTCACCATCACCGTCGCCGTCGCCGCCGCCGTCCACATCCTCCTCCTCCTCCTCGTCCTCCCCATCCTCATCCTCATCCTCATCCTCATCCTCATCATCATCATCATCAGCATCAGCATCACCATCATCATCATCATCATCATCATCATCATCATCATCAGCATCATCATCATCATCAGCATTATCATCATCATCATTATCATCCCGATCCTCATGCCCATCCTCGTCCACATCATCATCATCAGCATCATCATCATCATAATCATTATCATCATCACTATCATCATCATCATCATCATCATCTTCATCACCACCACCATCATCATCATTATTACCATCGTCGTTTTCGCCGTCATCATCAGCATCATCATCTTCGCCATCATCAATATCATCAACATCTGAATCGTCGCCGTCGTCATCATCAATATCAACATCAGCAACATCATCCGTCAGCAGCATCAACATCATCATCATCATTGTCATCATCCTCATCCTCACCCGCATCATCATCCGCCTCAGCATCGGCGCCATCGTTATTGAATTATCATCACCCTCATCCGCATCCTGCTGTAGTTCTACCCTAATCTCAATCACCATCATCATCACCATCAACATCATCATCAGCATCAACATCTGCTTCCTCAGCCTTATGCTCATCATCATCATCATCGTCATCATCATCATCATCAGTACCATCCCCATCCTCATCAGCATCATCATCAACAGCGCCACAAGCATCATCAGCGTCATCAACATAACCGTCGTCGGTGTCGTATTCATCACCTTTATCCGTCTCCTCCTAATCATCCTCCACCTCCCCATCCTTCCACATCCCCACCATCATCATGATATTTGCAATCATCAGCGTCACCTGCACCATCCTCCTCATCGTCATCCTCATCAACATCCTCTTCCTCCTCCTCCCCATCATCATCGTCGTCGGCATCGCGTCATCATCCTCCACTTCCTACTCATCATCATCGTCACCGCCGCCGTCACCATCATCAGAATCAGCATGAGCAGTACCATCATCGTCATCGTCATCAATATGAACAACATCACCATCATCATCACCCTCATTAACACAATCGTCGTCATCATCATCAAATACATCATCATCAATATCATTACCGTCTTCGTCATCCTCATCCTCATCGCCCTCATTATCATCAGTATCATCATCCTCCTCGTCCGCCTAGACATCATCACCGTTGTCATGTTCATCGCATCCCCCTCCTCGTCCTCCTTCTCATCATCATACTCGTCGTCGACATCGCATCATGATCACAATCATCCTCAGCAGCAGCAGCATCATCATCATCGTCATCAGCGTCATCGTCATCAGCGGCATCATCAGCATTGTGAGCATCGTCATCATCATCATCATCATCATCATCATCATCACAATCAGCATTATCGTCATCATCAACATCCTCATCATCGTCAGCATCCTCATCATCATTTTTATCCTCATTATCATCCTCCTCATCCTCATTATCAGTCTGCTCTTCCGCATAACGTCACCATACCATCATCCTCATCATCCTCCTCATCATCATCACCATCGTCGTCGTCATCGCATCATCGTTGCCATCGTCATCATCATCATCAGCGGCATCATCAAGATCATCATCATCATAAATCGCAACATCATCGTCATCATCAACATCATCATCATCATCATCATCATCATCAACGTCAGCATCATCAGTAGCATCGCCATCAGCATCATCATCATTACGATCAGCTGCATCAACATCGTGAACATAATGGGCACCTTCATCAGCACCATCATACTTACAGTGGGCATCATCCTCACACGTATCTGCATCCTCATCTTCATCCTAATCCTCCTCATCCTCATCATCATACACATGCTCCTCCGCCGCCTGCTCGTCATCGTCAACGTCGCACTCATCGGATCATCATTCGCCTCATCCTCACCATCACCGTCGCCGTCGCCGCCGCCGTCCACATCCTCCTCCTCCTCCTCATCGTCCTCCCCATCCTCATCCTCATCCTGGTCCTCATCCTCATCCTCATCCTCATCCTCATCACCATCACCATCACCATCACCATCACCATCATCATCATCATCATCATCATCATCATCATCATCATCATCATCATCATCATCATCCGCATTATCATCATCATCATTATCATCCCGATCCTCATGCCCATCCTCGTCCACATCATCATCATCAGCATCAGCATCATCATCATCATCATCATCATCATCACTATCATCATCATCATCTTCATCACCACCACCATCATCATCATTATCACCATCGTCGTTTTCGCCGTCATCACCAACATCAACATCATCTTCGCCATCATCAATATCATCAACATCTGAATCGTCGCCGTCGTCATCATCAATATCAACATCAGCAACATCATCCGTCAGCATCATCAACATCATCATCATCATTGTCATCATCCTCATCCTCACCCGCATCATCATCCGCCTCAGCATCGGCGCCATCGTTATTGAATTATCATCACCCTCATCCGCATCCTGCTGTAGTTCTACCCTAATCTCAATCACCATCATCATCACCATCAACATCATCATCAGCATCAACATCTGCTTCCTCAGCCTTATGCTCATCATCATCATCATCGTCATCATCATCATCAGTGCCATCCCCATCCTCATCAGCATCATCATCAACAGCGCCACAAGCATCATCAGCGTCATCAACATAACCGTCGTCGGTGTCGTATTCATCACCGTTATCCGTCTCCTCCTACGCATCCTCCACCTCCCCATCCTTCCTCATCCCCACCATCATCATGATATTTGCAATCATCAGCGTCACCTGCACCATCCTCCTCATCGTCATCCTCATCAACATCCTCTTCCTCCTCCTCCCCATCATCATCGTCGGCATCGCGTCATCATCCTCCACTTCCTACTCCTCATCATCGTCACCGCCGCCGTCACCATCATCAGAATCAGCATGAGCATTACCATCATCGTCATCGTCATCAGTATCAACAACATCACCATCATCATCACCCTCATTAACATAATCGTCGTCATCATCATCAAAGACATCACCATCATCAATATCATCAGCGTCTTCGTCATCCTCATCCTCATCGCCCTCATTATCATCCTTATCATCATCCTCCTCGTCCGCCTAGACATCATCACCGTTGTCATGTTCATCGCATCCCCCTCCTCGTCCTCCTTCTCATCATCATCATACTCGTCGTCGACATCGCATCGTGATCACAATCATCCTCAGCAGCAGCAGCATCATCATCATCGTCATCAGCGTCATCTTCATCAGCGGCATCATCAGCATTGTGAGCATCGTCATCATCATGATCATCATCATCATCACCATCAGCATCATCGTCATCATCAACATCCTCATCATTGTCATCATCCTCATCATCATTTTTATCCTCATTATCATCCTCCTCATCCTCATTATCAATCTGCTCTTCCGCATAATCATCGTCGTCACCATACCATCATCCTCATCATCCTCCTCATCATCATCACCATCGTCGTCGTCATCGCATCATCGTTGCCATCGTCATCATCATCAGCGGCATCATCAAGATCATCATCATCATCATAAATCGCAACATCATCATCATCATCATCATCAACATCATCATCATCATCATCAGCAACCCGCTCGTCATCAGCAGCAGAATAATCCTCATGATCATCATCATGATCATCATCATGATCATCATCATCATGATCATCATCATGATCATCATCATGATCATCATGATCATGATCATCATCATCACCATCATCCTCAACATCATCATCAGCGGCATCATCATCATCAGTGGTATCAATATCATCAGTGTCATTATCCTCATCCTCGTCTTCAACGCGCTTATCCTCGTTCTCCTCTTCCTCATCAGCACCGTCATCGCATCAACATCCTCCTAGTCCCCATCATCTCCGTAGTCGTCGTCACCATCGCATCATCATCATCATCATCATCATCATCATCATCATCATCATCATCATCATCATCATCATCAATATCAACATCACCACCACCACCAGCGTCCTCATCATCATCATCATCATCATCATCATCATCATCATCATTATCATCAGCATCATCATCATCATCAGCATCATCATAATCATCATCATCTGCATCATCACCATCATAAGCATCAGCATCATTGTCATCATAATCAGCATCATGATCATGATCATCATCAACATCATCATCATGATGATGATGATGATCATCATCATCCTTGCCATCGTCATCCCCATCAGCACCAGCATCAACATCATCATCTTTATCATTATCAGACGTATCCTCCTCCTTCTCCTCGTCCTCTTCCTAATCATCATCATCAGCATCATCATCATCATCATCAGCGCCATCTTCATCCTCCTCCTCATGCTCATCCTCATCAATATCATCCTCATCCTCATCGTCATCCTCATCGTCATAACCATCGTCATCCTGATCGTCATCCTCAGCCTCACCCTCACCACCATCATCATGCTCCTGCCGCGCTGGCGAGGGGGAGCCGGCAGGGTGCGGTCTCGTCTCCTGCAGCACGTACAGCCCCAGGCCGAGCACCGAGAAGAGGCAGAACCGGTTCATCGGCGAGGCGAGGAGGGAGGAGAGGGTCTGCGGGCCGGGGCGCGTCTGTCCGCGGAGGGTGGAAGGGTATAACGGGGCAGAAGGGGAGCGGACGGGGTCGAGGACGGGGGGCATGGGGGAAGCGGAGGGGCAGAGGGGAGCGGACGGGTAAAGGGGAGCGGAGGGGTAGAGAGGTGGAGGAGGCAGGGGATCGGCCGCGGATGGAGACAAGAGCGGGGGGGGGGGATGGACGGGGGAAGGTGCGAATTGGGGGATAGGGGGGTGCAGACGGGGGAAGGGAGAGAGGTCGTCGAGGGCCAGCGCGAAAGGGGCGCGTAGGGGGAAGACCCTGGGGATCGAGGAGGGGAGGAGGGCAAGAGTGAGAAGGAGGAGGAGGAGAAGGAGGAGGAGGAGGACCAGTGCAAACCCTAGACTCATCGACGATGTTGGAAGACACCCTCCCTCCAAACTCCCTCTTCACAGGTCCCTGCAAATATTCATTTCCACTGACGCAAGTGTCCCGTTGGGGGACAAACGTGTGAAAATTCTGAAGCGCACCTAAACACCATTCTCAGGACTTCAACGCCACGAGTAAACCTGACAGTTGCGTGTTAGCGATCCTGAATCCTGCCATAACACCATTCCAGAAACTCCAACACCGCGAACCAAAGTAAAAAATGCGCATTGGCAGCCCTGAAACGTTCCAAAGCACGGTTTATGGTGCGGCAACCATGGGAAACAACGAAACTGCTGCACATGTTTAAACGGATGTGCGCGGCGCTAAAGCGAAAACCATATTTCGAAAAGGAACCGCCTTCAATCCGTGATGCCCTTGCAATTGTTTTGATCAGCTGTGAGCGGCACTGAGGCGAGACCAATATTTTGAAAACGAACCGCCCTGAACCCGTGAAATTGTTGCAAGTGTGTAAACGAATGTGCTCGGCGCTAAGGCGAGAGCAACTCTTTGAAAAGAAACCGCCCTCAATCCGTAAAGCTCTTGTAGCAAAATTAAAAATCCACGTGCGCGGGCGCTTGGGCGAGAACCACGTTTCGAAAACGAACCGCCCTCAATCCGTGAAAATATCGCAAATACTTAAACGAATGTGCGCGGCGCTCAAACGAGAGCAACGCTTTGAAAACGAATCGCCCTCAATCCGCGAAGCTCTTGTAACACAATGTACGATTCATGTGGGCGGTCGCCTGGGCGAGGGCCACGCTTTGAAAACGAATCGCCCTCAATCCGTGAAGTTTGCGCAACGTTTGAGACAAATGCGCGGCGCTAAGGCGAACGTGATGGGAACGACCTGTCCTCAGCCCGTTTAGCTTTGTGCAAACGTTTCAAACGGACGTGCGCGGACCTCGGGCAAGACCCACGTTCTGGAAGCGGCCCGCCCTCCATCTGTGAAGTTGTCGCCACTGTTAAGCTTGAAGCTCGCACATGGCAAACGAGTCTCAAACGAAATGCCCGGCCCGCCCTTCCGACTGGCCACGGGGTGCGGCAGGGAGGAATTATTCATAGGGGATTGTTTGTGGGCTTTGCTTTCTCCTCGGGCTATCGTCAGAATAATAACTCCTGCGCGTGGCCGACGCGCGAAGGCGGCAGGGAGGAGTTATTCATAGGATTTGTTTTGTTTTGCTTCATCCTCGGGCTATCCCCAAAACAATAACTCCTGAACGTGGTCGACGCGCGACGGGGGGCCCCAAGCGGTCCGACAGGGAACGAGGGGCGAGAATCCAGGACCCAGACACATCCGACCGAGGGACACGACCGAAAAACAAGGACCGAAACCATGAAGGCCCGATATAAGCGTGAACCCTGGACAATCTGCAGACACCGGCAGAACACGAACGTAAGACACTGTACCAAATATCATTCGCACAATCTGTTGTGCGTGCCGAAGCTCGAGCCACGAACACTTTCAAAGCAAGGGGGGCGGTGGCAAAAGGGGGCAGGCGGCGCCTCAGCCTCCACCGCAACCAGCACGTAGCAAACGACCATCATGCAGAAGTCTGCCACCAGCAGGCAGATATCCGACATCAGGCTCCAACTTCTTCTGGGCAGAGGCCGCGGTCGTGCCGAGAGGGGGAGTTGATGCCCTCACTGAGCTTCATAAGCTCCTTGAACTTACCTTGGTCGCCGTTGGAACAGTCCTGCGGCGCCAGGGCAGCCTGCTCATCATCCAACACGGCCTGCCCGAGCGTGTTGGTGTGGTCGTAGCCCTTCGGGTCTGTGCCACCACGACGCTCACCCAGACCAAGACCGTCAACAAGTGCAACAACGTCGCGAGATAGAAAACGACGGTCATGAAGGCAACGCGGCGGAACATGGCCGCGCATAAATGCATGGCAGCGGTTCCACTCTGTGTCATAGCAGATTTCGTCATCGACGATGTCGGAGCAATCGATTATGATGCCTACAGCCTTGGTGAACCTCGGCGAGCCACCAGCAGACAGACAATCGACATCCACCTCCAGCGTCTTTCCATGGTCGCCGTTGGACCGGTCGTGCGGCGCAAAGGAGGCCTGGTCGTCGTCCAGCACGACCTGGCCGAACATGTTGGGGCGGCCGTAGCTCTCGAACTCTCTGACTCCGCCACGCTCGCCCTGACCAACGCCAGCAGGTGGAGCATCACGAAATTCTCCAGCACGCGTGTCCTGCAACTTCTCATCCTTCAAGGCCTCACTACGTTCATCTACTCCGGGCTCTGACGAAGTGCCAGCCTTCGACAGCCTCCAAGAACTCCTCCACAGACACAGTGGTGATACGCCTAACAATGGAGAATGCGATGTCAATGTTGACCAGCTTCTTCTTGAGCTTGTTCGGGAACGAACGGTACTCCGAGCACCGTGCCGCCTGTTGGAACCCTTGGGAAACATGTACCCCCGCTCGATCTGAGAGGAGGCGACGCAGTCGGCCAGGAGCACGGCCGATAAGAGAAGCCGGATCCTCCATGGCAGCGGCGCCCATGGGAGGATGGGAAGTGGTAGTGACAAGGGTGCAGAAAGGTACAGAGCAGCACGCGCCGAGCCTTGTGCCAAAAATGGCTACGGACCTTCGTAAGGAACAGGAGTGGAGGAGGAGGAAGGAGGAGGAGAATATGGAAGAGGAGGAGGAGGAGAAGATGGAGGAGGAGGAGGAAGAGGAGGAGGAGGGGCAGAAGAGAGGAGGAATGAGAGAGACGGGAGGGAGACAAACCGGAGGAGAGCTGAGAGGAGAGGTGTCGGAGTGCACGGGGGGGAGGAGGGATGGGGTGCAGACAGAAGGCCGTTGAGGAGGGGGGACAACGAAGAAGGATCGAGAAGGAGGGAGGAGGCGAGAGGACGAGGGTCGAGACACGATGATCGATGCTTCGAGGTTTCAAGACGTGTTTGAACCCATGTTGGGCCTGTGAAGGCCCCAGACGCCAGATACCTGCAGGGAGGAGGACAAGGGCGAGGAGAACAAGGGCAGAAGGGAGGGGACAGGAGGATCGACGAGGGGGATCGACGAGGTGGGGACTAGGGCGGCAGAGAAGGTGATCGGAGGGTGAGGGGAGGCACCAAAGAGGAGGCGGGGTCGAAGAGGTGGGGAGCAGGGCGGAAGAGAGGGTGATCGGGGGTGGAGGGACGCATCGAAGAGGAGGCGGGGATCGAAGAGGTGGGGGTATCAGGCTGGAGGAAAGCGTGATCGGTGGTAGCGGGGGAGGAGGGGGATGGGGGGAGAGGCAGAGCACCGAAGAGGAGGGAGGGCGAGAGTCAGAACGTCGAAGAGGAGGAAGAGGAGGAGGAGGAGGAGGACGGAAGGAGGAGGAGGAGGAGGAGGAGGACGACGAGGAGGAGGAGCAGGAGGAGGAGGAGGAGGAGGAGGAGGAGGAGAGGGGGGGGGCAGGGCGGAAGGCTCGGAGGCCAGTGCAGACGTGTGCGATGCGACGCGTCCCGCGGGGGTCGGCGCCAGCGTTCGGGCGCGACGCCAGCCTGCCGACGGCGTGCTGCCGCTGCCCTCCCGCGCGCTCTCGCGGGAAGGGTGAGGTGACGAACCAACAACACACACCCATACCAATAGGGGGGTCGGAGAGGGCTATGGGTGCGTGTTGTCGAATGGGGGTCCCCGCTCGAACGGGAGCGTTCCCCAGGGTCCGACAACCCGCACCCATACCTATAGCCAGTCCTCCTCCCAACGACCCCCCTATGGGTATGGGTGTGTGTTGTTCGTTCGTGATGAGGGGTACGACGCGTCCAGCGGTGGTCGGCACCAGCGTGCGGGCGCGACGCCAGCCTGCCGACGGCGCGCTGCCGCTGCCCTCCCGCGCTCTCTCCCGGAGGAGTGGAGGGTGAGCGCCCCGGTGGGCCCAGCTTCTGCACACCGGGTCCTGGGAGCCGATGCACACACAAGCAGACTGAAGAGGCACGGCAGAAACGCGCAGGAGTGGGAACGCACAGGAGAGGAAGTACTCCGAGATGAAATGCAGGGTCCGCGGCGCTGTAGCAATGAGAGACGAGATAAGAAACAACGAGCGCATACACTTGTACGAAAACGCTGGCCGCGGCAGCAATGTTAAACGTAGTCTATTAGCCCCCGCGGCCCATTTACCATCTCAATGGCATACTCAACGTAGCCCCGTTCTGAAATATGCTCCGAAGGTATGTCGAGGCCCTCGCACGTAGTCTCGTCTGCATGCTGGCCCTCACCACGAATCAGCTTGTGCCACTTCATCGCCGAGACGAAATCCAGACCGAACTCTACCGATCATGCCTTGATGTTCGGGCAGTAAGGCAGGCACCTTCGCGCGCCCGGGACGTCCTCCGTGAGGAGTCTGCTGGATCGAGGTCGCCCAAATCTCCAGACCGTGGCTGGTCCGAACTCGGCGCAGCACTCCGGCTTATCCGATGAGTTGAACCCCACCACGGTCGCGCATCATTCCCAGGCTTCGGTCGGGCATGTCCTCCTACAGGCAGATCTCGGGTGTTTTTTATGCCCCAGAATGCTCAAGCATGTTCAAAAATGGCAGAACAGTCGTCCTAAGACTACTTCTCTAGACTGCTTTTGAACGTTCCCCCTGCAGAGAGACATGCCCGACTCAACCACTCCCGGGCCGTGACTCTCGAGGCGGGCGAGCGCGCCGCGCCGCCCCCCCCCCCCCGGCCGCCCGCGCGTGCGCAGAGAGGAGCGCGCCGCGCCGCGGCGCGGCCGGACTCCTCTCCTCCGCACCGCGCCCGGCGAGCGCCCCCCCCGCGGGCACGAGCCCGCAGGAGGCCGCGCTCTCAGCCCTTGCCTTACGTCGGGCGTGCCCCCCTAACCAGGGGGATTTTCGACGAAACATAACATTGCCAAAAGACACCCCCAAAAGGTCAAACAATACTCCCAAACTAGTCCCCTGACTATTTCTGGACTATTTTTGAATATTCCTCCTATAGAGGGACAGGCCCGACTGAACTCTTGCCTCAGGTCGGGCAGGGGCCCTCCTACGGTCGGGGATGGAGAGACCCCCCTTCAGTAAAACGTGATTCAATGAAAACGGCCTCGGGCCCAAACCTGGCAGGTGCAAGCCGGGGAAAGAACGGCCGCGGCGCCCTCTCGAGAACCGGAAGCGGACAACTCACTAGTCGACGTGTCAGGGTGGGGGTTCTGTCCACCCCCGATGCAGGCGGACTTTGGACGAGAAGATACAAATACTCCAACACTTTTTCTTAATAGTCAAACATAGTCCGAACATCGTCCCCCCGACTATGTTGTTTACTATCTTTGACTATTCCTCCTCTAGGGCTCCCTACATCGCGCTTCGCGCTCCGCGAAGCGCGAAAAACTTCGCGCTCTCGCGCCGCCCCCCCCCCCAAAGGGAGAAAAGACAGGACGAGGAGGGGGGGAGCAGGAACGAGCACCGCGAAGCGCGAATAACTTCGCGCCCTCGTGGGAGCCCTTGCTCCTGTAGAGGGACAGGCCCGACCTAGCTCCTGCCCTCTGCTGCGTCGCCGGGGCCCCCCGTCGATCTCCCGCGAGCGCCGGCCCGAGAGGCCGACTGGAGCAGGCGATGATCTCTGGCGCCGCGGCCCCAGCACTGGCGTCTGTGAAACCACCGAATTCTCCTTGGCGCTCTCCTTTGAAGGGGCCCAGGGACACACAAAAAAAAATACACACACAAACACACATCCCAGGATTCCCCCTATTTTTCCATATGTTCTGGGTTTTAGTCTTCCCCCCCACTGCCCATTTTTCCCTGGGGATCGACGATCACTCGTGTCTGCGTGTTGTTTCCCTCCTGACCCTTGATATCCTGAGCACTGCTGTTCGCCTCTCGCAGTGGAGCGAGCGCGGGGTTCGCCGCCGCACTGTCGGCCAAGCCCGCGCAGGCCGAGAACTTGCCACCGCTCGGACGTCCGTCCGCTCCCGTGTACTTTTGTTGTCTTCGTGCGCTTCTTTTTCACCGGGTGCTCCAAGATCCTCCTCGATAGTCCTCGCCGAGAACAGAATGCACACGTCCGAGCGATGCCAAGCTGCTCGCCTCTTGCAGTTGAGCGATCGCGGCGTTCGCCGCCGCAGTGTGGGCAAGACCCGCGCACGGGGCCCGCCACGGGGCTTCATCCGCGCGCGATGGACCGCCGAGACTCTCGCGGGCGTCGGGGGGGGTTGGCCGCGTCCGGTTGCGCTCGCCCCTACCTCCACACTGACTGGCCCAGTGTTCGGGCGACGAGATCTCTACATGCATCCACTGCTCCCTGGCCAGGCCCATCCTGCGCCCAGCAGCGGTGCACACGCCACGCCCTCCTGGCTTGGCCAGGAGGGCGTGTGCACAGCTCCTGGGCCCAGGCAGGGCTCAGCCAGGGGGGCCATGGATCTGTACAAATTTTTCGTCGCCCGAAGCGTGGCGGCAGTGATCCACAAGGTCCGGGCGGATTGTGCGTTTGGCCACTCGAGCGAAACGTACGCCTGCGCGGATGAAGTTTCATGCATGCTGCCAGCGGCTCCACCGGCACACAGTGGAGGCCAGTCCACAAGAAACCTTCCACAAGAAACCCAACCCTGAGACCCCAGGGCGTCCATTGATTTTTGGTGTGGGAAAGTCACGATTGCCATGGCAAGAACATCGAAACCCAAGAAACCCACGGCACCCTGGAGGCCAGCAGGGTGTTTCTTGGCATGGGCTTCCACTGCATGTCATCGATGCCTTGTCGCGTTTTCTCCAAGGTAGGCTCGCCGCGCGTGCCGCCCAGCCGGAAGCTCTCGACGCGGCCGCCCGCCAGGCCGCGTGGGGAGGCCGTATCGCCCGAGCCTCTCCAGAAGTTGCAGGAGGAGCATTCGCCAGGCCACAGAGGACTGACCATAATGCCTTCTCCACTTCCAATGGGCCGTCGAACCATAATAACTTCTCCGCTTCCAATGGGCCGTCGGTCCCGATGCGTCTGCTCTCTGATGTCCACTCAGCTTGGAGAAAACACGAACGAGCGCCCGCGCATTCCGAACTGAAGTCTTCCGCTACCAGTCCGCAAGATGGCCATCTTGGCAAAGTGTGACACAATAGGTTTCGCTGTCTCCAACATCTGCCTTCTGGCCGCCTAGTCGTGCTTCACCAAGTCCTGGTGCTGGTAGCCCAAAACGATGATTGTTGTCTTTGCTTTTGCTTGACCGTCCAGTCTCGTCGCCATCTGTTCTCCTAGCTATGGTGCTTCTAGGGGGTTACTGGCCCCCATGTCAGGCTCCTCTTGGGTTTGCCGATCGCATCCATCAGCTCCTTGTTTCCAGTGAGGCCCTGAAAATGTTGCTCTGGATTAGACCCCCAGCTCGCGTACCACCGCCTCCTCGAAGAGTCGTCGCTTCTCTGTTGTCAGCCGTCCCCATTGCACCTCCTTGATGTTGTTGTTGGTACTGACGTAGAGGAGTCGGTTCGCCATGACGCCCCCCAGCTTCGTCGATGCCGATGCTGGTGATGAAGGCGTGCCCCCCCCGTGTTGCAAACTTCGGCAACCTGGCTCATGAACGCAACCTCGCGATCCTCGTAGTTCACTCTAGCCCAGCGCGCCTCGCTCGCCTCGTATGGCATCGCCACCTCGTTGAAGTGGTGTGCGTCTTCCTCGGCGCGCTTCTCTGCCTGTGGAACGTCGGCTAATCCCTTATGTCGTGGCTGACGCGGTGTGATATTGCCCTTCAATTTTGGCTCGATCTTCCCTTGAATGTCCCGTAATTACGGACTGATCGGCTTGACGTCGCCGCTTGGTTTGTGGCCCCTCTTCGTTGGCAACCAGTGCTGACCATGTCGCCGTGTCCTCCACGTTCTCGGCCACTGGCAGTCCGTGCCTGTCACGCTCGCCAGCTGGTGGTGGCTCGTCTCCAGGTCGCAGCGCTAGCTTCGTACTATCGTCCTCAGTGAGTGGCCGTTTTTGACGACTTCCTGGTAGCCCGTCATGGCTGGGACCATTCATTCTCACCGATCGATCTGCTGATCTGTTTGCCCACCTCCAGGTTTACCCACGACGACCACAGCGACCACGACGACCACGGCGTAGACGACGACGAAACTGATACGTAAGGCAACCGCACAACGACGACGGACACGACGACGACGACGACGACGACAACGACGGCGACGGCGGCGGCGGCGGCGGCGGCGGATTGACCCGCGGCAGGCGCCGCGGCCTCCGCCGGCTCCGGCCCGGCGGCGGGCGGCGCCTCCGCCCCGGCGGCGGCGGCGGCGGCGGCGGCGTCGTCGTCGCCGCCGCCGCCGCCCGCCGCCGCCGCCGCCGCCGCCGCCGCCGCCGCCGCCGCGTCGTCGTCGTCGTCGTCGTCGTCGTCGTCGTCGTCGTCGTCGTCGTCGTCGTCGTCGTCGTCGTCGTCGTCGTCGTCGTCGTCGTCGTCGTCGTCGTCGTCGTCTCCAGCGAGAGGTTCGGAGGGTGAAGCTGGGCAGGCACCCGCTGCCCTCGAAGCGCGAGGCGAGGTCCGAATCCTTCCCATGGGTAGGCCCCGCAGCCTGGCAGGAGTGGGCCCGGCTCATGGGCGGCGAGCCCGAGGAGGAGCCAGCAGCAGGAGTAGCGTCAGACTGCCAGCCGAGGTGCGGCAAGACCCTGAGCTTCAAGAGCCTGGTCGACGTCGTCAAGGGCTACGGGGCCGGGGAGGACGAGCTGCTGGAGCTCGGCAGGTAGGCGGAGGAGGCCGACGCTGAAGGACTGGCGCCCAGAGAGCCTGGGGAGGCCCCGAAGAGGAGGAGGAGGAGGAGGAGGAGCAGGAGGAGGAGGAGCAGGAGGAGGAGGAGCAGGAGGAGGAGCCAGGGGGAGGAGCAGGAGGAGGGGGGCAGGAAGCGCCGCCAGCGCAGCGCCTTCCCACGAGGGGCCCGCGGGGAAGCGATGGGGGAGGGAAGCGCCGCCAGCGCGGCGGCGCCCCCCCTGACGCGGCGGGAGGCCCGCGCAGGGCCCGGGCTGGGGCGGCCTCGGGGGGGGGGGGGGGGCGGCCGCGCCGCGCGAGGCGCCGCCTCAGGGCGCCTCGCGCCGAGGGGGCGGGGCTGCCTGAGGCCCCCTCTCGCCGCGGCGCCCGCCGCGGCGCCCGCCACGTGGCCCGCCACGTGGCCCACGCAGCTGGGGCGCGTGATGCGTCTCCTCAGGCAGAGGCCTCGCCTCCCAGACGAGGTCCGGTCGGAGGATCGCGCCGCATCGCCGATGCATCGGCGACGTCGACGTGGCGCAAGTCGGGCTCCGCATCGAGCCGCACCGCCGAGGCATCGGCGATGCGGCGCGGTCCTCCGACCCCATCTGCTCCGACCCCACCTAGGAGGCCTAGATCAGGCGACGCCAGCGACAGGGACCTCTGAGAGCTCCTTGGCGTTCGCACGACGCCCGCCGCGGCGTCCGCAACGTCGCCCACGAGCTGGGGCTCGTAATGAATTCCCTGAGGTGATCCATCAAAGCAGGGCTCCTGACCCTCTGGGAGGGGATCTAGGTTCGGAGGGCCACGAACATTAGGGATAGGGGCTCTTTTCTGCAGATGTGGCGAACCAAACCGCCCAGATCTACTTTGGGCGCCCGAGTTATCCGGGGTAACTCGGGTCCGGGGTAACTCGTGTTTGGATTCCCGAAAAAGGAACCCGAGTTATCCCTGACCCGAGTTACCCCTGATGATTCGGGGCTCTGGACGCCCGAGTTATCCGGGGTAACTCGGGTCCGGGGTAACTCGGGTTTGGATTCCCGAAAAACGAACCCGAGTTATCCCTGACCCGAGTTACCCCTGATGATTCGGGGCTCTGACTACTTTCCCTAATGCAAAGACGGGGACCTCAGTGAGGCCACGTCTTCACTTTCTCGGTGATAAGGGGGCGCCAGCGAGAGGGACCTCTGGAACCGCGACGTGGCACCTGAGACTTCGAAGTGCGAGCGACAGCGTCATGCCACGACCTTGCCGGCGAAGCCGAGCGGACTTGAGACATCTGCACCGCCCGTCTCAGGAGTGCCTTTCCCTGGGGCCCCGCTTGGAACCGCATGGGCTCGCTCGCAGGAGAGCCCACAATCGAATCGATCAGTCGGATGGGCGATCAAAACCAATCGGATCGGAGGAAATCGGCAGCGAGTCGGGAAAAGTGGCCCCTGGCCCCTGGTCCCTCCTCGTCCTCCTCCACCTCCTAAGAAAGAGGAGGAGGAGGAGGAGGAGGAGGAGGAGGAGGAGGAGTCGGCGAAGACCGGCAGGCGGGAGAAGGGCGCCCCGTCCGGCCCAGGCCGCGACGCGCGAAGCGCGGGCACGTCCTCGCGCCCCTGCGGGCGACCCCGGGGGTTCGAGGCCGGAGGCTCGAGGACATCGAGGACCTCGAGAATCTCGAGGATCTCGAGGAGATCGAGGACATCGAGGACATCGAGGACCTCGAGGACCTCGAGGAGGTCGGGGATATCGGGGGTGCCGAGGATCGAGGTTCGCCGATCGGCGCTTCTCCGGCACCTTGCGGTCCCTGCTCGGCCTTCTGGGGCCCCCTCAACTTCAGAGGGGCCTCATGGGGACCTCCCGCGAGCTCCGTCCTTCGTCGTCGGTGGTCGACGTGCGTCGTGGCGCGACTTCGTCGGGCGGCGCGTCGGTTGTCGTCATCGTCGGCCGTCGTCCTCGTCGACCGTCGTCGCCGTCGCCGAAGAGCGCAGAGAGCAGCGGAAGGACGGAAGGGAAACGAGGGGCGACCAGGAGGGGGAAGGCAGATGGGTAGAAGAACCGTCCTCCGCCTCCTCCTCCTCCTCCGCCTCCTCCATCTCCATCTCCACCTCAACCTCCTCCTCCTCCACCTCCTCCTCCTCCTCCTCCTTGTCATCCTCATCCTCATCCTCATCCTCATCCTCATCCTCATCGTCGTCATCGTCGTCATTGTCGTCATCGTCGTCGTCATCATCCTCATCCTCATCCTCATCCTCATCCTCATCCTCATCCTCATCCTCATCCTCATCCTCATCACCACCACCACCACCACCACCATCATCATCATCATCATCATCATCATCATCATCATCATCATCATCATCATCATCATCATCATTATCATCATCATCATCACCACCACCATCACCATCACCATCATCATCATCATCATCATCATCGTCGTCGTCGTCGTCGTCATCATCGTAATCATCATCATCACCACCACCATCACCATCATCATCATCATCATCATCATCATCATCATCGTCGTCATCATCATCATCATCATCGTCGTCGTCGTCATCGTCATCATCATCATCATCATCATCATCATCACCACCACCAGCACCACCGCCACCACCACCACCACCACCATCATCATCATCATCATCATCAACATCATCATCATCATCATCATCATCATCATCATCATCATCATCATCATCATCATCATTATCAGCATCATCATCAGCACCACCATTATCATCATCACCACCACCACCACCACCACCATCATCATCATCATCGTCATCGTCATCGTAATCATCATCATCATCATCGTCATCATCATCATCATCCTTCTCCTCCTCATCATCATCACCATCATCATCACCACCACCAGCATCATCATTATAATCATAGTCATCATCATCAGCATCATCATCACCGATGCTGGAGTACAGTGCGGACATGGCCGCAAGATACCCTCGCCAAAAACCCAGCCATGAACATCCGCGCGCGAGGTGCGATTTCGGGGGAAAGCCAGGGCACCCCGAACGCAGCAACTTCATTGACGGCCGCGGGGAGTCACCGCGTAGCGCGCGGAGCAACGAAACCCAGAGCACCCTCACGAATCGCATCTGGCTACGTGATGCCCACTGTGGGAGGACCAGAGTACACCCAACACACATCACCGATGCTGGAGTACACCCTCCCATCCCGAGCGCCCTCCTCATGACTGGATAACTGCAAGTTTCATGTGGCGTTTACGGCGAGCGCCCACTTGCGAAAGAATTGCATCTCGTGGCGCCAACTTTTTTGGCTGTCTTGAGCCGCCTTGGAAGCGTCGAAGCTGTCCTTGGGGTCTCTTGTCGCTAACTCGTGCCCTCTGAGGGATTCTCGGCCTCTGTGGGGGGCGTGTTCGAAGGCCTGGGGGAGGCCCGGGAAATCCAGCTCCCAAATTAGAGGCTAAATCTTCCAATAATCGTACCTCTATTTCCTCCCCTGGCTAGTGCATACGAATAGGTCCCGGTAAATAATAATCTTCTGCTCTCTCTCTCTCTCTTTCTACCTCTCCTTCTGTGTATATGTAGATATCGATATGTTTGTTGGCGCCCCGCTTGCCCGTTAAGGAGGCTTCTGCGTACTAGGCTAAGCCGATCATCAAAGCAGCCTCCTGCCCCGACGCGCGCGGCACTGCCACCGCGCCGTTGGGCATGGAGTGGGGCTGTCCTCAGGTCCTGGGCCCACTCCCCCAAGCCTCAAATCACTACTCCTGATGAGTCTTCAAGGCGCCTGCACCCCAGACTGTCAAACCTTCTTGGGCTTGCCGCGTCTCGTCGCGGGCTTCTCGCGTGACTTTCTCGGGCCCAAGGGGACCCTAAGATGGGCCCAGAAAGCCCCAAGAGGCTCCCAAGATGATCCAAGACGCCCAAGATGGCCCTAAGACGGCTTAAGAGGCCTCCAAGACGCCCAAAGAGGCCTCCAAAGGCCTCCCGAGAGGGCCCCAAGAGGCAAACATCTGGTATTATCCCTCGGTGTCTGAATATTCTGGCATTCTCGCCTTTTCGGCTTCCCGACGCTCCAGATAGGGAACCCGAACGAACATTTCGAGCCCTCGGCCCCGAGAGGCCCCCACCAGAGGCCCCCAAGAGGCCCCCAAGAGGCCAAAGGCCTCCCAGAGGTTCCCGAGAGGCCCCAAAACTGCCCCCAAGAAGCCCCTGAGAGGGCTCTGAAGAGACCCGAAGAAGCATCCCTGAGAACTCTGACCCACAACCCAGGCACGGTGTCGGGATGGGCCGAAGGCAATTCGATAGATATGTGTGTATCTGCATATGTGTGTATATATACAGATATGTATACATACTCTCGTCCTCCCCCTCACTACCAAGACGCGAAGTGTGACGGCGATGTTGTCCCTGAACGGGTGGGCGCATGAGGAGGGCTGCTGTCGAGAGGAGGGCGAACGATGAACTCAAGTAAAAGTGTAGCGAAATATCTGACTCGCATTTGTGGCCGCATCCCTACCCTGGGGACCTGTTGCGACGGAGCCGTAACGCTCTGCTGCACATTGGCCTCAGAGTGGTTGTTGATGATGAACTGCATGGGTCTGGCGCGCGCCCGAACACACACACACAAACATACTAACATACACACAGACACACAGACACACACACACA